CTATGGAGTAAAGACAGGTAAATAAATGCATGGTGTTCCTCCCATGTGTCAGGGCTCACTGCATCTTACAAATGAATCAGCCCCACTCCAACACATGGTGCATCTCAAATGGTGCTGGAAACCTGGATATCCACGTACAAAAGAATGATGCTGGACAAAATTCATACCCTCCTATTATACCCTTTTCAAAAATTAAATCAGCATGACTCAAAGAACTAACCTTTAGAGTTGAACCTGTAAACCCCTTAAGAAAGGCTGGGCTCAGTGGCTCATGCCTGTAATCCCAGCAATTTGTGGGTCTTGGGCTGATCACCAGAGGTCAGGAGTTTGACACCATCCTAGCCAACATGGTAAAACCTCATCTCTACTAAGAAGACAAAAAAATTAGCCTGGCATGGTGGCAGGCGCCTGTAATCCCCGTTACTCAGGAGGCTGGGGCAGAAGAAGTGATAGAACCCAGGAGGTGGAGATTGCATTGAGCCAAGATTATGCCAGCTGGGGTGACAAGAGTGAGACTCTGTAAAAAAACAAAAACAAACAAACAAACTGTAAGAAAATACTGATGAAAATCTTATGGACATTAGAATTGGTAGTGGTTTCTTGGCAGGTAACCAAAAGCAAAAGTAATGTAAGAAAAATGACAAATTAGACTGCATCAAAATTTAAAAACTTTTTGTCATGAAAGAACACTTTTAACAGAGCCAAAAGAAAATGCACAGAATAGGAGGAAATATTTGACAATCACATATCTGATCAAGAATTAATATCCAGAATATGTAAAGAATTACAATTCAACAATAGCAAACCAATCTCATTCAAAAATGAGTAAAAGACATAAATAGACAATTCTCCAAAGCAGATATAAAATAAGGACATAAAAATAAGGAATTCCAGTAAGAACATAAAATATGCTGAACTTCTCTAGGCCAAGTGTTGGTGAAGATATGAAGAAATTGGAACACTTGCGCACTGCTGGTGAGAGTGAACAGTGGTGCAGTCACCATGGAAACAGTATAGTGGTTCCTCAGGAAAGTCAAAATAGAATTACTCTATGAGCCAACAACTCCACTCGTGGGCATGTACCCAAAAGAACTGAAAGCAGGAACTCACACAGATATTTGTACCCTCAGACCCATAGCAGCACTAATCCCAATAGCCAAAAGGTGGAAGCAACCAAGTGCCCATCAGCGGATGACTGGGTAAATAACCCATCATGCACATGCATAGGGAATATTGTTCAGCCTTAAAAGGGAATAAAATTCTGATGGGATGAACCTTAAAACCACTATAAATGAAGTAAGTCAGAAATGAAAAATAAATATGACTCCAGAAAAATGAAGGAGTACACAAACCAGAGAATGACATGGATCCAGCAAATAGAATCCAGCACAAACAATATTCCAGCTATGGAGCTGGCTCTAAAAAGAAAGAGTAAAAATATTAATAGGTTAGCTGGGTGGAATGGTCCAGGCCTGTTGTCCCAACTGCTCAGGAGGCTAAGTACAATGAGGTAGCTACAATAAGCAAATTCTTAAAAATAGAAAGTAGAATAGAGGTTACCAGGGGCTGGGGGTAGGGAGGGTGGGCAGTTATGATTCAATGCATACAGTTTCTGTTTGGGATGATGAAAATGTTCTGGAAATGGATATTCGTGCTGGTTACACAACAAGGTAAATGTGCTTAATATTAGCCACTAAATTGTACACTGAAAAAAATGGTTAGAAGGTAAATTATGTGGTATGTGTTTTACCACAGTTGAAAAATACATATCAACGCTAAATCCAATCACTACTGTCATCGAGATTTGTTTATGCTGGTGTTTCAACAAGCACATTGCTGTTGTGGAGGGGTTCCTTGGAGTTCTTATGCCACCATGTTCTTTGGTGTCACTACTTAGCCACTTTCAAATTGTGTTTATGCATCACAATTCCCGATCTGCCAAGTACTTTCAGGAAAACTATTCATATGAAAAAATTCATCAAGCAACTTATACTTGGTGCTATACTCTATGGAACTGATCTCAGAAAAAAGAATCAAACTTCACTGGACCTCATAGATGGCACAAGTGAGGGGTTGGAAAATGGGTAAGGAAATTATAACACAGCATGTCAAAGTATTTTATATGACTTTTTTCTTTGAATGCTACATGATTAATTTTATAATGACTGTACTTACATGTACCAATTTAAAATTTCTGCTTTCTTTCTTATTTCTTTCTTATATATTTCTCTGTCTTTGTAATTATTTTTAGAGTGGGCATTTTGGATAGTTCAACAGTTTCATTCATACGATTATGTTTTGTTTTACTCTTATTCATGAAAGATGGATTTGCCAGCCATGGATTTCTAGTTTGACACGGGCTTTCTCTCAGCTCTTTAATGATTATGTCTCTCCTGGCTGCTGTGGCTGACGGGGAAAAATCAGTCACATCTTAACTCTTAACCCAGTTGCTTCTTAAATGATTTGTATTTCTTCTGTGGCTACCTTTTTTTTTAAATAAATGAGTGTAACTTTTTATTAAGATAGAATTTTGTTTATTAAAAAATTATATGGAAAGGCTAAGTATAATCACATGGCACCAAAATTCTTCTAGTGAAAACAGCAGCCCTGCCAGTTGCTCTTTCCAGAGGCAAGCACTTTCCATCCTCTCAGTTTTTCCTTTGGGTAGTTACCTTCATGGGTTCTTCCACATTATTATTATTTTTAGTTTTTCAAGTGAATGCATATATTATTAGGTGTAATGTTAGAAAGCCTCTTCAGTTTATAATGCATCCTAACAATCCCCTGCCCCGTCCCTCCTAATTGTCCAGAGCAATGACTTTTAACTCTTTTAACAATGTCTTCTGTCGTTTCTCATATCACTACGTAGTCATTTCTAAATTATTTTATATATTATATAGTAATTTCCTGATACGACAGGTGAGGATTTAGCTCTTACAGCATCACTATCCTCATTTTTCCTCCCATATTGTCCCAAAGTAGTTACCAGATTCAGGGGCTAAGCAGTCACCACGTCATTATGACTATGCACATATTGCTCATTGTTGAGAAAAACAGCATATGATGCTCTTACTTCCCATCCTGTACTTCTTCTGCCCTAGAATTAATGATTGCCTAACCAACCCATCCCCCCCTTTTTTATACTTTTGCTTTTTCTTCAATGAACTTATTTCCAAATACCCCAAATCCGTAAATAACCTATTATTATTTTTAAGAGAAGGGATCTTGCTGTGGTGGCCAGGCCAGTCTGGAACTCTTGGGCTCAAGCCATCCTCTCACTTAGCCTCCTGAGTAGTTGGGACAACAGGCCTGGACCATTCCACCCAGCTAACCTATTAATATTTTTACTGTTTATTTTTAGAGACAGCTCCATAGCTAGAATATTGTTTGTGCTGGATTTGATTTGCTGGATCCATGTCATTCTCTGGTTTGTGTACTCCTTCATTTTTCTGGAGTATTTTTTCTATTAACTTCCCAAGAAAGGGTACATGGAGGTAGCCCCTGAGTCTTTGCTTGTCTACAGATGTATTATTTTACCGTCATCCTTGATTATTTGGCTGAATGTAGATTTATCAGTTGAAAATAACATTCTTTCTAGAATTCTGAAGACACGGTTCCATTGTTTTCAGATTCTTTTTTGAGACAGGGTCTCTTCTGTCACCCAGGCTGGAGTGCAGTAACACAATCATGTCTCACTGCGGCCTTGAACTGCAGGCTCAATTGATTCTTCCATCTCAGCCCCCTGAGCAGATGGGACTACAGGTGTGCACCACAATGACCAGACAATTTTTGTATTTTTTGTAGAGATGGGGCCTCACCATGTTGCCCAAACTGGTCTCAAGTGATTCATCTCAAAGTGCAGGAACCACAGGTGCGAGCCACTGTGCCCAGCCAGTTTTCCTTTTACTCTCTCTACTTCCTTCATTTCTCAAAAGCATCTCAAACTCCGTGGGCCCTAAAGCAAAGTCAAACTCCATCAGAATATCCTGCTACTTCCCACTTTAAAGTGTATCTTAAATCACAATCACTTACTACATGCAACCCTTTGGTTCACACTACCAACATCCCTCACTTGAACTTAGAATTGGTTTTCCTCCTTCTGTATTTTCTTAATTCATAAAGTATTTCAAATAAACCATGTGTTGCTTTATACTTTTTATTACATAAAAGAATGAAGATCTGCTGGGTACAGTGGCTCATGCCTATAATCCCAGCACCTTGGGAGTCTGAGGGGGTTGAATCACTTGAGGTCAGAAGTTCAAGACCAACCTGAGCAACACTGTGAAATCCTGTCTCCACCAAAAACACCAAATTAGCAGGGCATGCTGGTGCATGCCTGTAAGCCCAGCCACTTGGGAGCCTGAGGCAAGAAAGGGGAAGGTTTCAGAGAGCTGAAGTCACACCATTGCACTCTGTCTGCACAAAAAGAACAAAACTCTGTCTAAAAAAGAAAAACAAAAGTATGGAGAGCTTCCATACTTAAGCGTGGAATTGCTTTAAGTGTTTGGCATTCACTTTCACTGTTCCCATGTATGCCAGCATCTTCTTACTGCAAACACCTGGGACTTGCTATGGAGTAGCTGGAGTATGTTCTACCCACACACAGTACAGGGAGCTGAAAACCAAGGAGTGGGGATCAGTACTCCAGCTTTCTCCTGTAGGAGTCCTTGTATCTCAGCAGTGTGGAGCTTGTTACCAATGAGAACCTACTCACTGACTTTAAACTGGTTTTCTTACCTTCTCAGCTCCATTGCTCCATACCTCAATTGATGGTTTCTGGTATGATCTAGCAAGTAAACTGCTTTCACTGAAATGTCAGCCTTGGAACCTGCTTTGGGTTCCCCAGTCAAAGACAGAAAGATATTCATTTTCCCATCACTGGACTTCCAGGTTGTTTCCAGTTTTTCACTGTATACAATCAAGGCTGCAACATGTCTCCACAAACCTCTGGATACACATGAAGGAAGCTTTCAGTATTTCCCAAGAGTGAAACTGCTCAGTTGAAGGGTATGTGCATCTTCATCTTTAATGGATACCATCAACATGTGAAAAGCCCGACAATGTCAAGGACTGTCAAGAGTGCCACATGTGATGGGTGTGGAATGGCAGCTCACTGGAGCAGGTGCTGGGGACTAAGCTGGGGTCTTGGAGAGGCACTTGGTTTTAGCAAGAACGTTTCATAAATGGTATATGATAGAGTCAAGATTCATGGGAAATAAAAATACATTGCTTAGAAATAATTCTCCATAGATCTAAAGTCAACAGAAGTATTTTTTTCAAATGGAAAATACACACTTTTTTTCTGGGACAGAGGGAACAGCTTAAAATACACCAGAAACACCTTCATATGATTATTCTTCTCATTACTTCAAATTTGTTCTTAATGCCTTTCCCCTTCTGGTCATTAGATGGAACACAGGGTGTTCTGGCAGAAGCTTGTATTTCTCCAAATCAATTTCTGAAAAAAAGTGTCACTTTCAAAGTCCTGCATAATCCTTGTCCCATATAGTTTAAGATGGCCTGGGTGATTCATGGCTTCCTGACAAACAGAACTGCAACCAACTATCCATATCACATCGACTTTATTTGCTAATTCTGGTTGTTCAGTAAATTTTAAGGTATCAGCCAGACTTCTGGCAAGAAAAAGAGCTCCTTGTGGAGGTTCCTTGAGTTCTCTGCTAAGAACTAAATTTATTCTATATTTTAAAGTTGATTCTTCTCAGGAATCAACTTCCTGAGTCATAAGCACCTTCCTACCCATAATCACCAGAGTCTGTTGACTTTCTACTGAGGAGGTTGTGGTCATTCTCTGGAAATATCTGAATTCATTCTTGAGCAGTAGCCAGGGCAGCCCCCGATCTTGCCGATGCCCATGTTCTGGGACACAGCGACAATGCAGTTTAGCAAATGAACCATGACAGCAGCGGTGAGCACCTCCGAGCCCACTCACTGTGGTTACATTTAAGATCACCGTTTCTCTTTAACATCTGAAGTTCTAGTGCAGTATGAGCCACTGTGCCCGGCCTGTAGTCTTTTGATTCACTAAGTGGCTTAATAAGACAAAGTTGATTTGAGCCAATACTTCTGGCATGTTCATTTTGATTTGTAACAGAAGTTTTCTCTGAATCCATCCGCATAAGGTGAATTGGAAAACTGCAATCATAGCCAAAGCTAGAAAATCCTGGAAGTAGTCAGTGTTTCTCTTCATCACCAAAGACTTGTCTCCAATTTTTACTATTGTTCTATTTATTCCAGCCAGTCAACAGTAGTAGCTGAAAAGAGAGAGGACACTGATGAAGAACACGGCGGGCACTGAGAAAAGAAAGAGTATGCGGAGCTTTGCTGTGTATCTGTCAGTTCATTCTACTCCTCTAGAATGTGGCGTTCTCAAGACTTGATGTCCTCCAGGCCCCCAGAAGGTAGTGAGCACCCTGAGAGCCAGCTGGACTCACCTCTTGTGTGTAACTGCACAGTCACAGCGTCTGGGGGACTTGTCCTGCACTTCTGGAATCAACTCTCTTGGTCGTGGTGGCTACTGCTTCATTGTCCTTCTGAGGTAGGTGAAATGGGGTGTTCACAGCCTTCCTTGAAAGGAAACAAGAGACTTGTCAGGTTGATGGAGAGAACAAGCTGTTCCACAGTGCACACACCATGTCCTAAGCTTGTGGTTAGAACATCCTGCAGCGAGGAGGAGGAAGAGTAGAAGGAAAATATCTCCAAATCTGTGCAAGTAAAGAAACTCATGACTAGTGTTCTTGGGCTGACCTGTGCTCATTATAATAGTAGAAACACAGCCCCAACTGCCAAGTTACGATGCTAATGAGACATGAGATGTTTGTGCTAGAGTGTACAACCACAGTGCACACACGCCCAGGAGACCACAGACATGCTTAAAACAACACCCCTTCCCACCTCTTCATGAATAATCATGTAAGACTCCCATGAGGGGAATGTACTGTCTCATTTTTTTGGTTTGTTTTTTTGTTTTTTTAGAGACTGGGTCTTGCCATGTTGCCCAGGCTGGAGTGCAGTGGCTATTCACAGGTGCTATCCCCCTACTGATCAGCACAGGAGTTTTGACTTGCTCGTTTCTGACCTGAGCCGGTTCACCCCTCCTTAGGCAATCTTGTGTTTTCCTGCTCCCTGGAGGTCACCATATTGATGCCAAACTTAGTGGGGACACCCAATCAGCATAGCTCACTACAGCCCAGAACTCCTGGGCTCAAGTGATCCTCCCACCTCAGACTCCTGAGTAGCTGGGACTACAGGCACGCACCACCACGCCCGGTGGTGCTGTCTCACTTTTGAGCAGCCTGCCCTGATCAGCTGTCAGGGTTTACTTTCATTTTGCAATAAACTAGCTTGCTTACTTTTACTTTGCACTTCCTGTCAAATTCTTTGTGTGGCAAAGTCAAGAGCTGGAACCAGCCCACTGGCAACACTTCCTTCCTTTTCCCTTTCTTTCTGTATCTTGTTGCTAAGGATAACTTTGCCCCTGCCAGCAGCATGCCCCTAGGAACTGAGGACGGCGTGCTGTGGCTGGTGTCCTCCTCAGCTTGGCCTTGGGTCACTAAGTGTAGCCCATGGTAGGAGGTTCTGGGAATGAGTGGCACTGCCTTGTGCAATGGTCCCCATGAGGGTGGCCCACAGGTGCTAGTGTCTGCGGCATTTTCACAACTCTTTAAAAATACTCAAGAATGTACTGAGGAGAGCAGGTCTAGGGCCTCACCCATGTCCCTCATCTGCTCATGTACATGGCTGTGTGCCTGACACAGTGAGAAATGAAAAATGCCACTGCCCCTTTGCGAAGCACTACTTAGTTCTCCTCCTCCTGAAGGTGGTGGCACAATGCCTGCGTTGAGATGCACACAGAGTGAGCATTCCAAAGTAAAAGGAGAGACTGTAACAGATATACCTGAGCTTTTCAATGTCAATGAGCAGGGCCTTCTACACTCTGGCTTCTACACCGTGGATTTCTCATTGAGATGTTTCTAGTTCTCAGAGTGCAGGTAGCTTACCAAAAAAAGAAAAGGACAGAAAAGGAAAAGCAGGAGAAGGTGTATGGGGAGCTGGGACCCTGGGCCTGTGCAGGTGAGGTACAAGGTGCTTCTGGCAAGGCTGCCACCATTTGGGGCACTGACATGTTGGGGCATGGCAGGGCCTGCTTCCTGATGATGCCATCTGTTCCAGTTGCTCACTGGAAGTTTCAATGCCCAGAGTTTTGTTTTGATCGCAATTTTTAAAAGTATTATATTAGGCCAGGTGGCTCATGCCTGTAATCGCAGCACTTTGGGAGGCCAAGGTGGGAGAATCATCTGAGGTGTGGAGTTTGAGACCAACCTGACTAACCGTAGGGCTAAGGGCCCCTCAGGGTTGTGCAGTGTCCATTAAGCTGTGCTGAGGAGCAGGATCCAAGACATAAAGAGACAGGACACAGAAGCACGAAGAAAGCACAGCTGCACTCAGGGGGCTACGCCACCTATAAGCAGAGACATGCAAGGCCCCAAATGTCCAGAAGCGTGTGTATTTATTGGGTATAGGTTAGGGGGCAGGGTAGCGAGTGAATTCATCTTTAAGGATAGTGATAGGGTCATGAGCAATAAACAAGGGGTCCACCCCCATTACGTCACCTAGGCTAGAAGGTGGACAGTGCGTAGCAAGGGGTCCACCCCCATTAGGTCATTGAGGCAAGGAGGTGGGCCACATGCAGTAAGGGGTCCACCCTCATTAGGTCACCAAGGCATGGATGTGGGCTGTGCACAGTGAAGAGGCTGCAGTGTGCAATATCTCTTATCTATGGGCATGCTAATTCCAAGAATATCTATAGGAGGATGCTTTAACTCACACAGCAGTGACAGAGCTGTCAGGGTCTGCTGCCAACTGCTGGCAGCTTCCAATGAATTCTAGAGGAGGATGCTTTTGAGGCAGCACAGTAACAAGAGCAGATAAAGTTCACAGTCACCAAGGCATGATTATCAGGAGGGGTTTGGAGCCTTGGGTTGATGGAGGGATTGCTGGTCTGAGGGCAGCCTTTCACAAGATACAGTGGGTATTTTTACGATACTGAACACTGCAGCCTGGGCCATGAATGCTTGTTCTGGTATAACTGTTTTTCCCTTAAATCATGCTCTGCACCAGGTCTGCTCTAGACATTCCTCTGATTATAAGCTGCTTATTCCTTAATTCATCCTCTGTACTGTGTCTGCTCTAGGCTTTCCACTGATTATGAACTAATATATAGTTTTATATATATATAGGGAAATAACTGAGTGGTAAGATATTCTTTAGGCACTCATTCTATGAACCAACATATGATTATATATAAAGGATTATATAAAAGGAAATAACTGAGTAGTAACACTATAAGCTGAGATATTCTTCAGGCACTAATTGTGCCAGGATTCTGCTTAGCTCTCCTTCCTCGGAGCTTATATGGGGGGTTACCCACAACTAACATGGAGAAATCCTGTCTCTATTAAAAATACAAAATTAGCCGGGTATGGCAGTGCATACCTGTAATCCCAGCTACTCAGGAGGCTAAGGCAGAAGAATCATTTGATCCCAGGAAGCAGAAATTGCAGTGAGCTGAGATTGCACCATTGCACTCCAGCCTGGGTGGCAAGAGAAAAACAATGTCTCAATATACATATATTAATATATATACTACACAATTTTATGCTTTTTCAAAATAGCTAATAAAGCTTTCTGGCTAAGTTGTTAGTAATGTTAATCTCTCTAATGTGCTTAAAGGCGGTTAAATCTGCAGGGTTCCCACCCTCACTGGACACCTGGGCTTCCCTGCTTGTTCTATTTTCAAGTGTTTTTGCCCGGTGGTTGCCCCATGACTGCGGACATCATGCCTTCTGGAGGAAACCACACTCTTCTTTGCCCACTGAGGGTGGAAAATTGGATAATTAGGCTGGATGAAGGGAGGAGATCTCATTTGCTCTGCGTGGGCACCATAGTCACCTGCACTTGAGAGCGAGGCTGAGGTGTAGAGGCACAAAATGTGGCCACATCTCTCAGCTGGCAAGTGTCCTAGGGACAATGTGAGCCTGAGTGGGCAACACTGTGACACAGGACAGGGTCCGTCGCAGTGTTGCCCACTGTGACTGCAGGGCCAAAAGGAACCAGGGCTGAGAGAAACCTGGAGACATGCTGGGTTAGGACTAGACCAGGGCCTGGAGAGAACCTCCACCACCCTCATAGGGCCTGGGGAGATGGACCCAGGAGGGGGACCTGCCCCTCTCCCCTAGCTTTCCTGAGCCTTATCATTGTCACCCAGCCTACACTGGTGTCCCTAGTGTCTACCAGACACTTTTCATGTTTTGCCTCCTTAATCTTCTGAACCTCTCCATGAGGACAGTGTTGGGTTTGCATTTCTGTAGTTGAGGGAAGGATTCAAGCCTGGACAGTTCTTAGGAATGGGCCCACAGCCAGTGACTGGAGCCACACTTGAGCCCCGGTAGCTCAGACTTCTGAGCCCAGAGTGTTCTGAGTTCTGAATTGTTGGACTGGCAGTGCCCTGGGCCAGCTGCACCTGCCCACTACAGGCTGCCAGCCAAGGCAGGCATCCAGAACAGGAGAGCATTGCTCAGAATCCAAGACATGAATTTCTTTCCCTGGGCCAGGCGAGGACTCAGATGAAGCTGACTGAGGATACAGGTGCTTCCTGGCAAGGAAATGTGTCACCCATCTGACTATCCAGACGTCACAGCTGCTCAGTATTGAGTTTTGAGGGAGGTAGAGGGGAGTGTGGGTATGGTTTGAAAAGCAGAATTCTGCTAAGGGGCTTGTTAAAATTTCTGATTCAGTAGGCCTAGGGCAGGACTTGAAAACTGCATTTCTAACAAGCTCCCAGGTAATTCCAACGCTGCTTGTACCAGGACCCCGCTTTGAGAACCACCACTTGAAGGCAATCTAGTTTGATTTCTAGTATGAGAAGAGGGCTGGGAGGCAGAGGTGTAGTAGAAATGAGTTCATGTCTGGCCCATCCTGGAGAGCTCCCCACCCCAAAGCTGCAGCATTTGACTTCCTTGGCATCCTGGGAATGGCAGACACCCAGGAAGGGACTGAATATGAGGCAAGAGGCCATCCAGAGGCTCAGCTTCACACAGCACCTGGGGCTCCTGCCACTCCACAACTGGCCCCCACAGCCTTAGTCCTTCCCACCCCTCACACACTGAGCAGGCTTGTGCTACTGCATTTGGCTGTTTCGACTTGGGATATAACCCTAGGAGCTCTAAGTGGTACCTCCTGATCCAAATACATGGTGATCTAGTGTGACAAGTATTTAGAATGTGCTGGTAATGAGGAACTTGAAACTTTGGCAGATGGAGTCAGTCGTGTGCCCTTCGGAAGTATTATCAGTGTTCTCTTTTCCAAGTATCATATCCTTGAGAGCACATGTATAGTAGAGGGCGTTCTGAGCCCACTGAAGCCAGAATTGTCATGCTCCACCCCCTAGAATCCATTGTAGATTGGGTTTCATCATTTACACCAAGATTTGGGCAAAATTTCCTTCACCGAACCAATTGCATTTGTTAATTAATCATGCTGTCATTTTGCCTTTTAGTGAATGAAAGTCAGACATGTAATGAGAGATAGTGCAATTAAAAAGAAAACAGCTTACCGA